AATTTATGAGAAACAAATTTGATTATTTCTTAGACGTTAGGCTTACCTCCTAGCTAAGTGGTTTGTTCCCTCACACTGGTCTGCAGCACATTCCCGTTATGAACCAGTTTACACATTTTCTAGGTGACATAGATCTTTGGGGTTACTCATGATTTCAGTGTGCAAATTACAAGGGCTTCTGTGTTCTTCCCTTTTTCCCCTTTTTTTTCTACAGTTAAGTATTTTTAAGTTTTATTTAAGTGCTATATAAATTGTTGTTCTGCTTTTTTCACCCAACATCTTATTATAAGCATTTTTCAGCCAAAATTCTCTTAATTTTTTAATTTTTACCTTTTTTCCCCCTCAGAATGTTTCCATTGGAATTGTTGGTAAAGACTTGGAGTTTACAATTTATGATGATGATGATGTGTCTCCATTCCTGGAAGGTCTTGAAGAAAGGCCACAAAGAAAGGCACAGGTATATAATTAATCATAACCCAAGAGTCTTTAGTTCTATAGTAAACCAATGTTCCTACCACAACAGTGTAAATCTACTATTTTTGTCTTTAATTATTGAGATAAGCTCACGATTCAAATGGCAGTAGGCAAACTAAGAGCCGAGTAAAGTAAAACACTGAGGGGGCGGTGATCTCCATAAACACAAAATGGGTTGAAGATTTGATTATCTGTTTCTATTTCTTATAATTCTGTAAGTTGACTGGACTCAGCTCGATGGTCCTTTTGCTAGTCTCACTTGGGTCTCTAACACACTGCAGTCAGTTGTGAGTCTGGAACATCCAAGATGAGTTTACTCACATGTCATCTTTACTCACACTTTTTAGGTATCTTATAGAGTCAGAAGATTGGGACCTCTACTCAGATGGCTGGGCCTCTGTCCATGTAGTGTTAGGGCCTTTCCTTCACCAGGGTCATCTTTACTCACACTTCTAGGTATCTTATAGAGTCAGAAGATTGGGACCTCTACTCGGATGGCTGGGCCTCGGTCCATGTAGTGTTAGGGCCTTTCCTTCACCAGGGTCTCTCTAGCACAGTAGCAGCTCAGAGCTTGCAAAAGTTCAAAAGCTCAAAAGTGAAAGCTGCCAGGCATTCTTAAGGCTTGAGTCTCCAAACTGGCACAACATCATTTCTGCACATACTCTTGGTTAAAGCAAGTCATAGGGACAGCCAGCAGTCTTAAGGAGTGAGGACTCATAGAAAGTTCACTGGGGCCAGCTTTGGAAGCTAAGTTGTCTCTTCATAAACATTGAGAACAAGGATCAAGAAGTGTTGTTGAATCTCAGGTTATATACTGGTCTTTTATATTGGGTGTTTAGAGTATACATTTGCTATTTACAGACGCTTATTTGCTAGCCGTATAATTTAAAATAAAGTGTCCAGTACAGAAATTTCTTCTACATCATGAATTTCTTTTCAATTTGAAAAGAATATTGTTGATATTATTTGGAGGAACAAGATTTACATTATTTAAACTGCAGTTGGTAAGAACGAGCACTGTTGGGAAGAATGCAGTGGAGGGCCATGCAGCTGTCTGTCTGGTCATATTTTGCTGTGTTTATTATTAGTGCTAAAGAGGAAAAGAATGGCTAAAATGTGCTTCTTGTATTTTAAGGCTATTAATAATAAAAGGAAGGCCTTTTATTCTTGAGCAAGATAAAGTATGCTAGAATTGTCCAATGATTCTTAGGTTTTCAGAACTGTAAAATTATATCTATTAAAAAAAAACTTTGTTTAGAAATTTCAACAGGACAATGAACTGAGTATTTGAAATATCACCTAACCCCTTTTTCTCATAAATTTTTTATAGCATAATATTATTTTCTTTTTCCTTCCCTTCTTAAGCCTGCTCAACCTGCTGATGAACCTGCAGAAAAGGCTGATGAACCAATGGAGCATTAAGTGATAAACCAGTCTATATATGTATTATCAAATATGTAAGAATGCAGGAACATGTACTGATGACAGTAATCTCTACTTTGAACCAAAAGATGCAGCGGCAGAATTGTATGTGTTAGGAATCAGTCCAGATGAGAGTTTTTTCCAAGCAACTGAAACCATATAATGGGATGCATTTTTCTTTGAGAGGGTCTATATAATCATTTGCTAGAAAGTATAATTATCTGTACTAATGTTTTTATATGAAGAACATAGTGTCTTTGTGGTTTTAAAGACAACTGTGAAATAAAATTGTTTCACCTGCTGATGTATTGAGTTTTTGTTTTTTAAATAGCTTTAACTGTATAGTCTGAAATTACAACTGATCATTTGTCATATTTGTCAAAATAAATTACCTTATTTTTAAAGATGCAGAAAAATAATGCCTCTTATACCAATTCCTCAATGTATGGACTGGCTGCATGAAATTCCATGGAGATTTGGTTCATAATACAAACTCAAGATTCAACCCTGGAGATTCCTATTAGAACCTAAGAAACCACCACTTCAAACAATAGTAGTAAGATTAACATGTGAGTGGTTTTTCTTTCTAACCAGCTATGGTAGCTGTCTGTGTGAGGAACTTTTGCAAAAATAACAAAAGGAAAAATTTAATTTAAAACTGTCATTTCCTCTTATCTTGCCCAACCCCACTCCAGCAAAATCTTTAGGCTGCCTTTTATTATTCCTGTTGGCTGTGTACCAAGATACTGCAGAATAATTTTTCTTACAACATGCAAAATGAAATTAGAGAAAATCTGATTAAAAAACAAAACCAGTAATCCAAAATTTTGCTGCTAAGAAGCCTAGAGGAGTTATTTTCTAAGATTCATATCTTTTTGGAGAGGGGCAGTTGATTTATAGATAAGGAACTTGGATTTTGGACTTAATTCTACTATCTGATTGCTATTGGCTTTGGACAAGTTACTTAGCCCTATTTTAAGGAAATCCTTTGGAGAATTATTTTGAAGGTTAAATGGGAGAATTTATGTGAAAACACCTTGTATACTCAAAAATACATAAAATGTTAGTTTAATTTTTTTTCAAGGTTACCCAAAACTTTAAAAGCATTAGTAGGTTTAAATCTGACTTCTTTCTTTTTTTTTTTTTAATTAAGTTTATAGGGGTAACATTGGTTAATACAATTATATAATTTTCAGGTGTACATTATTATTTGACATCTTCTATTCTGTTTATCACCCAAAGTCCAGTTTTTTTAAGCTATTATATATTTGATCCTCTTTCCCCACTTCACCCTCCCCCAAAACCCTATACTTGAACCCCTTGACCCCATCTACCTACCCTCTCCTCTCCCATCCCACTAGTAACCACTAGTCTATAGTCCATGTCCATAAGTCTCTGTTTGTTTGTCCTGCTCATTTGTTGCTTTTAGGTTTATATCCCACATGTAAGTGTTATCGTGTGATTTTAAACTTTTTCTGTCTGGCTTATGTTGCTTAGCATGATTATTTCGAGGTCCATCCATGTTGTTGCAAATGGCAGTATTTCATCTCTTCTGATGGCTGAATAAAATTCTATTGTATATATGTACCACAGCTTCTTTAGCCCATCATCTATTCATAGGATACTTCGGTTGCTTCCACATCTTGGCCACCATGAATAATGCTGCTGTGAACATCGATGTGCAAATATCTTTTCGGATATGGGTTTTCAAGTCTTTGGGGTAAATACCCAGAAGAGCGATTGCTGGATCATATGGTAGATCAATTCTTAGTTTTTTGAGGAACCTCCATACTGTTTTCCACAGTGGCTGTACAAATTTGCAGTCCCACCC